TTTGCATTTTAGATTAAAGGGGATGTGCACTCGAGACTCTTAACGACGTCTCCGTCGCTCGTCGAAATCCCTTGGGTATTTCATGCTAGAGCTCGGCTAGCTCGTCTCTCGCTCGAACCAGTTCGATTCTCGGGCACGTGACTCGACTCGTGCTTTGCAAACTACTCTTTTTTGGCTATTGTATCAAAATTTTTCCCTGCTCTCTTTCGTATCTTTCACTGTACAAAAGCTTCATCAGGACGAGCTGTTTTTATTTAATTTCAAACGTAAATCAACTTTCTGACACAGTCTATGAATCGAACTAACAACATTTGTATTAATCGTCGATCATTCAGAAACATGTAACCGAACATTGGATCCGATTTCTCTTATCAGAAATGCTTCTTATATAAGGAAAAAAGAGTACAAAGGAGAAAGACAATTATTTTGGGAAACGGGAGGTGGAAGCGAGATTGGATGTTGCGATTCGAAAGGAATGCCTTTAAAGCCGGTGCATCTTTTTGTCAAAGGGATATATACGCGCTATACACCCGCCGTGTAAACGAACATCCGAACGAGTGAATGCTCCTGCTCTTTGATTCCGTTGCGCCTGTTTTACTTGCTTTCTCGCGCGCGAGAGCATTCGAACGGAGCACGAACAAACCAGCTGCCTTCTTTCAAATCCTTATTGTCTTCTCGCGGACTGGCTTTCCATACCACTCTTCGTCGATGATGCGATTGTCGATGCTTTTCTTTATTTCGATCCTCGAATGGATTCTGTTCACAATTTAACAAACATCCTCGAACAACGTTTCACAATAAGAATCGTGTAAAAGAACCTAACAGATTTTTCATGGAAACAGAAAAGAATACAGAGTGGAGTAGAGACGAGAATGCGTTCAACGATTTCGATATCGACTTGAATGTATGTTTGTCAAAATACATTCAAGTCGATCAATGTAACAAGAAAGAAAATGGCACGAGGTGCAAATTTACTTTGCAAAGTAGTTGACTCTGTTTTTGACAGGGTACGTGGAGCAGAGAGTGGAGGTGGAGATATAAATTCTTCGTCGCGGATTTGACGAGCAATTGGCAGAAAGGGTGGGAGAGAAGGAAAACGTGACGGCTGCCAAATGTGCCGGTTGTCTGATTTGCGAAAATCCTCTGGAGAACCGTTCAACGTGGCCTTCTACGTGACGCTCGCCGTGTACGTGCGCCGTGCGCGCCCCCTCTTTGGATCGAGTCGGAGAAATACAGGGGGCGAAACAAGTGAAGTAGATCGACGCTTGTCCCGACGCAGCTCCAACTGCTTAATACAGTCGTAAAATTAAATATAAAAACTAGTAACGAGTTTCACTACTCGAATTGTATATCTCCTAATTGCAGATATTAATATTCTTGTTATATTCTTTTGTTTGCGAGGCTTGTTAGATTTGTAAACTTAGGAGAGGCTAATGCGCCTCTTTTTCCGGTTGTAGATACGAGACCACTTACGCTAAAAGGTTCTTGAAGAGTAAACCCGAGCATGTGCATATCTACAGAAAATTCTTAGCCCAGTTTATTTCCAACGTTTAGTCCGGGTTTAGTCGGACCAACCATAGATTTTTTAAAGCTGTCCTTAAAGATAAGATCACCGACTCGTTCGTCAAATTTCTACGAACTCTCCTTTTATTTTAAATTTCTAAATCACGTACGATAGGGTAAGAAGGTTCGAGAGCTGAAGAGGGAGAAAGCCATTCAACGCGCGCATTTATTTTCGGACAATTAAAGGCGTTCCACGGCGGTACTCCGCGCCGGTTGCATAACTTGGTCGGGGAACGAGACGAAACGAGACGAAACGAGACGAAACGAGACGAGACGAGACGGTGCGAAAGAAACGAACGCGAAACGAACGAGTAGTTAGCTGGCATACTAAAGAGAAATAAGCAAAGATGCGGCGGCGCGCGACATCCGGGGCTTTCCACGCCGACGACGACGCACGGGACCGGATCTCGCTCCTTTTAACCGTGGATCGAGACGGCGCGTGTTACGAACTTCAATTTTTAAATCGGTCTCGCGCTATTCCCGTCCCGGCGATCAAAATATACGGGACGCTCAATTTCACTCGGTTCCAGTCTGTGCCTCGGCGGAATTCGTTAGACCGCGGTACCTGTTTCTCGGTCCTGCTTCTCAGACTCGGTAATACACCAACACATCATCTATGTATTCATCGTTACATCGCTTGTTTTTCAGAGGATAATACTAAATGTTAAATTGTGGCAAATATGGAAAGTAAATGATATTCGACGTCTTTACTCGACTCGTTGGTCGTTACGTTTTTATCGCGAGGCTTTAGCGTACCTCCCTCATTTGTATTCTCGCTAGCTGGTAGATGATATCGATAATCGCGGGAGTTATTGAGGGGCTCGCTCGGAACGCGAGACACCCTCGCCCCTCAGGAGCTGTGTATCTCCTAGCTCGTATATCACCTCTGACAAGTCAAACCGGTATTTATGCTCGTAGTTCTTTGAGTCCCTCGTGCTTATATCCCGGTTTCATTCTAGAAGAAAATCCTTCTCCCTAGGCTGCCCTTATTGCTGCGTTCCAAGGTTTAAATTGAGAATCAAGCATTCAGTTTGATATTATTACGTGGGTATATCAAAGGTCACGTGTTAAATTTCAATAAAGAATGCTGCAACCGTATTGCTCTAACTATTAAATTATAAGTTCTATACAAACATTCATATCACAATCTCATTAGCAATCATCTTTAATATAATAACAATAAAACGTAAAACGTTCTATAATTTTAATGTAAAATAAAATATATGTCCCTGACATGTAACAGACATTACTTTTATATATTTGAAGGAGGACGTTTCATATAGAGCAGTATCAATACTGGATCGGTCGCGATTTCGCGCAAGGAACAGTTTATAGACAGGGCTGAAATTGATCGCTAGGGCGAAGTTTTTATCCGACGAATCCCAGGGGCGCGAGAACGGGACCTGGCCGGATCTTTCTCCGCTACTAAAGTTGTCCATCCAACTTTTCCCTTCGAACGGATTGCCGCTTAATGACTTTCTCTCGCGTACCCTTCACGTCTCGAGGTTTGCTCTCGTCAGAGGGTTTACTCTTTCCGATAAAAGTAGGGTCGGCTCGTTCTTTGTCGAAGCAGCGCAAAGACTGGTGAACAGTTCCTTGGTAGATGCAAGAAGTAAACAGGGGAAATACGTAAAAGTCGTAGAATTGTAAAAACGTGATAACATACATCGTCAGAAATAATGTAATACACAGTCATTGATTTAATTTTAGAGATTAAATAACAGATTACAGATAGCAAAGTACACAGAGTTAATGGAATGAGTTCGATAATTGTAGTAAACTATGTAATGTAAGATAAAATGTGATCTATCAATAAGTGATAAAATCTGTATCGGATGAAATTGGTGATCTCGTTTGATTTTTAATACGGGATTTACCCACTTTCCGCGAGATACGTATTCCCTGATGGCTGCGACGTAATTACACGGATAAGTTGAAACGAGTGCGAGTGCAAGAATTCGGTGTACGTGTACGGAAAGAATTAAACGACGATGAGCCGGTGCAATTACTTTGATGGCGCGAGGTAGGAGGGCGAAATGGGAATAGGAGGCACAGGGGCGCGAGAGGGTTAAAACGACGCGACGACGAGATAGCGAAAACGCGAACGCGCCGCACCGGAAACCGGAGCACCGTCCTCTGGGAAATACGTCTTGGTTCGCCGGTGGCGAGGAAATTTAATATCCGAATCGACGCTCAGCTCGCGGTTCTCTATACTCCGTTGCTGGAGACGAGTTATATCGACGGATGTGCGCCCTGCTCTGGCCCGGTTTCCCGCTTTCCATTCTTCTCAGTAGCTACTGAAAATCTAGACCCAGCTACCCCTCGAGCGGGGTTCGCGTTATCGGAATTGTAATCGAATCATCGCCTACTCCCAGTTCTCTCACGTTTCCTCGATAGTTATAACAAATAAAATCGATGATTCAATAAACTTCATAAATAGTATTTAAGATTCTAACATCGAATCACATTGATTATTAATACTTGAAGATAAAAATGTTCACATAATAAATTCATATTTCAAGTTAAAAATTTTCACGTGTTAAATGATATTACTTACTACAAAAACTGGAATGGTAATATCCCGTTTCTATGCGACGTTTCTTTTTAACCTGGAGAAAATGAGAGCAAACCCTTTTAGAAACGGTACGGTAACTGCGATTAAAATGTCGTTACGGTAACGAGATATACTGGATTACCGTCGTATTCCCTGGTATAAGTATCTCTTTCCAAACCTGAAAACAAATTTCCTGTTGCCAATTTACGATTTCTGTCGACGTTGTCGTTTCAACTGGTTCCGTCGCGATCCAGGTGGAATTATCCGTTAATGACGAAAAGGGGTCAACCGAAGGGTAAAAAAGAGGAGTAAAAACGGCGAGTCAAGGGGGGTCCCGATTGTGGATCCTCGACAAAGCTAATTGCCGGATCAAAGGCGGTCCGAGGATAGTCGAGACGCGTTCTTTGTTTCGATGGCTAAAAGGACGGGTGGGCAGCGGGCGATCGGTTGGCACACGGCACAGGGCAACGTACACACACGCGTGTACGTCGATAGATGGACGACGTTTTTCACGGCTATTAGCGCAACGAGCCGCCCCGCTCGCTAGTTCCTTCCGATCGTATTTCACCCTATCGATCGACCTATCCGTCGCGCACAACGTAACTACATGGCAAACACGCCGCAAGAATTTTCGTCCAAACCGTGGAATCGAACTCTATACGAGTCGCTTATAACTCAAATTGATAGACCTCCGTCAATCTTGATTTGAAAGCTTTCTAACTTTTGCCGTAAGCTTTAATTGATAGAGAGCACTTATAAAGAACCAACGACTAATTGCAGGAGGAACGAGTTGCTATGAGTAATGTCAAGCCTGTAGTAATTGATTCGCGCCTATAATTAGAAGAAGCGATATTTATTTAAGCTCTTCTCTTTTTGCTCACAGATCTCGCTTTCTTCGGATCCAGCCGTTCATCACCGACCTTTCACAATGGCCGCTCATTTATGGTGAGTCGCATATAATATTTTCAACCATTACATTAAGGAACATAAATTGTAGAATGAATTATTATCAATTTTCAATAACAATACGAATTATCATTCGCAGTAAAATCCGTCTGCGCTACATTCTCCGTGTATGAGTAGTTCTGTTAGATCTCTTATCTCATAGTTGCTGCAGACTAATTTAAAGTCTCGATTCGGATGTATTAAATCACCGAGGATCGACGTTGAAGTCGGATGTCGGCTCGCGAAAATGTCCGTTAAATTAGAGAGGCGTAGATCTCCTGGTACGAGTATCATCGGTGGTATGCAGTTTTCGAGCGGTTCGCTATTGCGTAATTGGTAGCAGGTGGCGAGCGAAAGATTCGGGCAACAGACGAGGTGAGACGAAAACGAGAGAAGAGAGATGGGAATAGAGAGGAAGGTGATCGCGAGACGCAGACGCGGGAGCGCCGTTGGCGTCGCGTCGTCGGTGTCTGCGTCTGCTACGCGCTCTATAAATAATCCGGGGGAATCCCGAGCCAGCAGAAGAAGAAATTGCCGTGTTCCGCGCGATGCCCGCCGAGATATTCGCGCGCTGACTCCACCTCTTCTTCTTCTTCTTCTTCTTCTTCTTCTTCTTCTATTACTACTACTACTACTACTACTACTACTACTACCATCCTCCTTCTAATTTTGGCGAACCGACGCTCAGAAAACTGTTCTCTTTTTTCCGCGGGCCGAGAACGCGCCTCGTCGTGCCCGACTTTGCTCCAATTTTCTATTTCCGAGGCGAGACGAAATTTCGAGGATCCGTTCGCGAATCGATTCCACTCGGTTCTCCTTATCGTCTTCGTATCTCGCTCGTCCGCCCATAGTCCGTATCAGGGAAATCAAGAGAACGACAGGAAATAAAATGTCAGCTATTTTATATGATGCGCATGGAGAAAAACGTTTTCTACTTTTCCAGGATAAAAATCAATTTATCAGTCTTCTGGGAAATCAACAGAATCCCGGTCTTTTAATTTTATGAATTCACTTATCAGATTAGAGTGTAAAATGAATTGTAACGATAAGGTGAATGCGTTCTGTCGCAGACAAATCAGAGGCGGGTGAGAAGCGAGCGACGCGGCGAGGAGGACGAGCCGGCGTTAGCGTAGAAGAAGAGAGTGTCGTTTCGGTCAGGTACGCTCAAACTCGCATCCAAAGTGGCTAAGAGCGTAAGTCCTCGCCGAGTGCACCAGGAGTGCTCGAGCGGAGGTGCAGGAGGGGAGGTGCAGGTACAGGTGCAGCAGGAGAGACGAGCACCGAGGCGCATGCCTTACCTGGGGCCTGATATGACAACCCGGCTGTCCGCCATGTTTTACACGGTCGAAGTCGGGGACACAAGGTTCACCATCCTCAAGCGGTACCAGAACTTGAAGCCGATCGGTTCCGGTGCGCAAGGGATCGTCTGGTGAGAATCTATCTTTTGTTTTTTCATTCGTATGTTCCTCACCTATTCCTGACTCAACTGGGGAGCATTCATTCCACATAATCTCATTTTATAATAGCGATTCGGCCAAGAAAAGGCCTAAAAAATGAAAATTTAAAACCAGATTGGAATTTATAATCGATTTCACGATTGGATTTATCCAAGTTAGTAACCAGTCGACGACGCTAGTAAATTGTTAGCGTTGACCAAGTTGCGTTAAAAGTTGCGGTAGACCGGAAGACTGGAAGGTGGCCAGAATGAATGTGGAATCCGTTTGTTGCAGCGCGGCGTACGACACAGTGACCGCGCAGAATGTCGCGATCAAGAAGCTCTCGAGACCTTTCCAAAACGTGACGCACGCTAAGAGGGCCTACAGGGAATTCAAGCTAATGAAGCTGGTCAATCATAAAAATGTAAGCTCGGTTGGTGCGACTAACGCGCTTCTTTCCTCGATCGCGATTGCTTCTTTACTCTTCCTTATCATACAGATAATCGGTCTTTTGAACGCGTTCACGCCGCAACGGTCGTTGGACGAGTTCCAGGACGTTTACTTGGTCATGGAGTTGATGGACGCAAACCTGTGCCAGGTGATTCAAATGGATTTGGATCACGAGCGCATGTCCTACCTGCTGTATCAGATGCTGTGCGGCATCAAGCACTTGCACTCAGCCGGTATTATTCACAGGGTAAGCAGCGTCCACCGCTAGCAACGAATTCAAATAGTCCAGAGTTTTTAAAAATTCATTCTTTTACCGCATCATTATGCTCGCGAGGATTAATCGTCACGTATTTTAATTTAATCGCGCGCAGGATTTGAAGCCGAGCAATATCGTAGTGAAGGCCGACTGCACGTTAAAGATTCTCGATTTCGGTCTAGCGAGGACCGCGGGGACCACCTTCATGATGACGCCGTACGTGGTTACGCGATATTACAGGGCGCCAGAGGTGAGAAAGAGGGAAATAAGCTTCTATAGTAGCCGTATGCGTCTTATTCGTTCTTCCGTTCGACAGGTGATCCTCGGGATGGGATACAAGGAAAACGTGGACATTTGGTCTGTCGGCTGTATAATGGGCGAGATGATCCGAGGTGGCGTATTGTTCCCCGGAACGGATCACATCGATCAGTGGAACAAGATTATTGGTAGGTTTGAATGGTAATGCGTGATCGCAGATTGTAAAAAGAAAATAAAATGTTCTATATACCGCATTGTATCCCATTCAAAGTAAAATTGAAACGTGCTACACCGATTTTACATAACTTCTCTCCATAGCCCGATTTTCGTTAACACGCGGGTGGCTGTTGCAGAGCAACTGGGAACGCCGGCGCAGGAGTTTATGCAGCGGCTGCAGCCTACGGTGAGGAATTACGTGGAGAACAGGCCACGGTATCCGGGATATCCGTTCGACAGGTTATTTCCGGACGTACTGTTTCCATCTGACTCGTCGGAGCACAATAGATTGAAAGGTGAGCGTATGAAACCGTCGAGGCGACCGATTCGAACGAGGTCCGCGTACGGCTGCCCTTTCTCAATTCCTTTCTTGTCTCCGTTTTTCCAGCAAGTCAAGCCAGGGATCTATTGTCGCGCATGCTCGTGATCGACCCCGAGCGACGCATCTCCGTCGACGACGCTCTGCTGCACAATTACATAAACGTGTGGTACGACGAGGGCGAAGTCAATGCCGTAAGTGTCGTCGATCCATCGTTAATCCCGTTACATTCTTCCCTTACTTCTTCCTCCTGTCCCTCAGGGTTCAAGGTAGAAGGGATCTGCGTATCGAACGCGAGTTGATTTCTTCACGGTTCAGCATTTTTCGTTTGAATCAAATAAGCGGAATAATTTATTAATCTCAAGTAATATGCCAAACTCGAAATAAATCTGATAGCTTTCCTGTTTCAACAAATGACTTTATCTCGGATGAAGTAACGAAACAAATAATGCAACTTGATTCGATAACGATCGAAACTGTGGCGTGGGGACGGCTCGAAGGATGATGGAACGCATTTTTATCTTTGCAGCCTGCCCCGGGCCCGTACGACCACAGCGTGGACGAGAGGGAGCATACGGTGGACCAGTGGAAGGAACTGATCTACCAAGAGGTGATGGAGTATGAAACGAGCCACAATACCGCGACGACGGCCCAAGCGTCCGAGAGCGGTGGTTCCCGGTAGACACGCGGGAACGCTCGCCACCAGCATCTTTCCCATCGCGGACACGCACCTAGACTATTGTCTGATTTTCTCGTACTACGTATACATATACATTACACTATGTATATAAAATATTCCGCGAGAATGTAATGAAGAGGGAAGGAGAACGAGTTAAAAATAGTTCACGTCCATTGGGAGAGACGTACGTTAAAACGAAGCGCCGTTTTTGTTCGAGGCGAAGAAGAGATGGAAGAAGAAGAAAAAGAAGAGGAAGAGGATAGAAACGGGCGCGGCAGGAAGCTCGCGTAACGAACGGAGATATAGGAAAGAACGAAACGAAACGCGGAAAGAAGTAGATAAATGTGCGAGCGAGAGTAAGTGTGAGCGGGTAAAAGAGAGAGAGAGAGAGAGAGAGAGAGAGAGAGAGTGAAAGTGAAAGAAAGTGTAAGGTAAGGAGATAGATAGGTAGATGCGCGCGTGGTAGGCGCTGCTCCGTCGGTTTTTCGACGGGAAATCGGAGAAATAGAGAGAGAGAGAGAGAGAGAGAGAGAGAGGGGCGATATTAGCTCCGAGATACGAGTCGTTCGTACAAGGCATAACGAGCGCGCGTCTGCGAACGCACGCGTGTAAAGTTAGGGATCCCTCTGCAACCAAAGCATCGACGCGATTCCAAAGCGTCGCATCCGCTCGACTGTCCGGTCGACGGATGAGAAGATAAGAGAGAAAACAGAACTCACTACCGCGCGACGTTCGTCGTTGTTTTCGTTCGGTCTTCTTGCTCCTCTTTTCCGAGCACGTCTTGTCTCCTCCGTACGGGAAAACGCGTATTCGTTCGCAACGAACGTTCCCCGCGATCGAGCTTAACGAATAAAAAATGAGAAGAAAAAACTGAATAGAGAATGTGTTTTTGCAATAACGCGCATTCGTTCGCGTGTCACACTCGCACCGATGTTATATTCCCATTCCGTCGCGAACCAAACCGAACTTAACATCCTTTGTCCCTTTCGCCTACTTCACATTCTTTGCGCCACCTACTTATCTTCTTACTCTGTCCTCCACTTACTTTCCCCTCCGATCGATGACCGGCTGGCTAAAACGGAGACGCCGCCAGTGTGAACGATCGATCGCCGACGAACTGCCCAATACGAAACAAATGTTTTACTGTCTTTTCAATTACTGCCATCGATAATCGGCTCGTAGCAAACGACATGAGAATGATTGTCGTGCGTCGTATCGTTCCTCCGTTGTAGCTTCTTAGCTCACGCAGCTGCGAGACAGGCTTGGTTCGCGGGTTTGGAACTACTGCATCAGTAGCAGAAGCGTATCGTACGTGGAATCGCTATAACGTTATCTTAATCTTGAAACAATTCGTATTCTGAGTGTTGGAATAAGTGGAACATCGATTATCCAAACCAGTTATGATATCAGGGTATAAATTGATTCATAAATAAGACGAGAGCTTTTCAGAACGCGAACGTCTTATTGGAATTTATGTAGCTGATATTCAGTCGAGCACTGTTCGGATAAATGATATTTTACCATTTTGAAGAAATAATTTCTAGGCCAAATACGGTATGAATAATTTCAATCAGATTTATTATATAATATTATAGCGATTGCATGGATAAGAAGAGATCGTCGAAACGTAATTTTTTACGTAATCTCCGAATGCGTCCGACGTACAGGGTGTCGCGAAATAGGGAAGAGAACCCACTACCCCCGCCCCTTTTCAAAGTCCACGAGAAGAACTCGCCTGCGAGACAAGTAAGCGTTTAATGAAAAAAAAAAAAAAATTGTCGAATGCGAGAAACACGTTGTGTATTTTTATATATATATGCGACACGAAAACACAAAAGATTGTGCGTGCTTTTGTCCTTAATCGTTTTCGCGCGCTCGTACGCCAGCCGATATTTTGTAACGTTAACTTTGTAAGAGTGATACACCGTTTTAATCTTCTAAAAACCGAGGGAGGAAAACGTTTTTCCCGGGGGAAACACGAGTGAGAACTGGAACAGAAAAGAGAGAATGAAGCATGACGAACGAAGTGAACACGGGAACGCGGCCAAAAAAAGGGAACTGACCGAAGGAAATCCAGAGATATTAAACAAAATTCGACTTGCATCGTCGAAAGGCGATTACTGCGAACACGAGGCTCGGGAATCCGTATCTACGAAGAAAAAGAACAAAAAAAAGATAAAAAAAAACAGTGTGCAATGTCGCGACGATCGATCCTCGAGTATCCACGAGACGACAGTCTGTTCGCGGTTTGTACTCGTCGATTGTCTCGTTAGTTAGTTAGTTTCCTTAGATGAAAATAAAAGAGAACGAAAACGAAGGAGAACATTTTTCTTTTTAGTGCAATCGTGCACGATCCTCGCGCCATTGCGCGACGACGAATACCGACGCGATAACAAAACTCTAGGATATACATTATATATGATATATAATATATAAATCTCTCTCTCTATATTATATATATTATATTATACTATATTGTATACACGGAAAAAATGGCTAATTACATTATTTCTGAGATAACGTATTTCGCTGTCGACGAGCTAAAGAGAAAGAATAAAAGGAGAAAAAAAAACGGCAATAAATTGGCTAGAAGGTCGATGATCGTCCACGTGCGCGTTCAAACAAAATTATTGTATCGTATTTGTTTATAAGTGGAAGAGAAATAGACCTGTTTTTTGTACCGCTCGTTTCGGCGTTCCTTCGTTTTAATTGAAACGATCAGCGACAGACGTGTACGCGTGCACACGCAGTTTCAGGTTTCAGTTCGCGCTTCACGCGGATGGCATACCGTGGGCGTCGTTGTGAACTTGTGAAAAATGAAAGAACGAGTACGCCTTAAGGTTTTAAGCTCGGATATCCATTGCGCGTTTTGATTCCAAAGTGACACGTTTCGTGGCAATATCTTGTACAGTAGTCGATAAATAATCGAGATACAGGGACTGAAGGACCTTCATTTTCCGACGATCTACAGTCTACCACTACAGCGACGGTGACGACGACGACGACGACGACGACGATGACGACGACGATGATACAGGGACAGGGACAGGGACTCCGGTAACGACTACGATTACACTGGTGATTATTAATATTACTATTAGTACTATTACTACTACTATCGCTAGTACTACCAATACTACTATTACTACTGCTACTATTATTATTATTATTATTATTAT